AGAAATTATTAAAAATTCAAACGATTTCTGCTGCAATTGGCAAATGAAATAATTGCGTAAAATACAAATTAAGTTGAGAATTTCATTTGAGTAAAAATTCATTTCATTTTGGCTTTCGGCTTGAACAATTTAATTAAGTGAAATGTGTGTCAAAACGCATTTGATATATATACAAATTATGAAATGTTTGTTATGCAACTCAATTTAAATCCAATATGCTGTCACTTATTGGGCCACGATGACATGGCCAAAATGAATGGCATTAGACGTACAAGGGACCGGCCAAGTATGTAATCAGGGCTAGAGCGCGCGCCACGCTCAACCACAATGGTATGCGGCCAAAGGAAGGGCCATGACTGGACGGCCTAGGCAATGGACATAGAGTTCAAGTGGCCGAGTCAAGACAATTCGAAAAATGCTTTTAAAAGGAATTTCGCTTATGGCCAACTGATTGTGCCACGACGTGGTGGTACAGGGCAGAAGGCACGAGGCAGCTGCCAGAGGCATGAACTTAGCTAGCAAATGGCAAGAGAAACAGTATGAGCAAAAGAGAGAGAGAGAGAGAGAGAGCTAGTGAACGAGCGTGAGTGAGTGAGAGTTGAAGCTGAAAAATTGAATTGTTTTAGAGATTTTTGTTCTCATTTTCGCTGCGCCAAACAAATAAATCAAATTGGATTTTCGCTTGTGCACTTAATTTTCGTCGAGGAAATTGCACAAAAACTCCATCAAAAGCAGCCGAAAACAATCAAAGTAGGCCTCTTTCTTCTCATTTTCGACAATATTTCGAATAGAGTACAAATTGTATTGTGCTTAGGAATTTCGTCAAGCCAATTCGATATCGATTTCAATGTCTATTCCAAATTTAATGCAGGGCCGACAATGGCGTCAGCAACTGAATGCCGTTAACTATGTCATGCTTCGTGTCACGACTTGCTGTTACTTTTTCAGCCTGAAATTGGGCTGCAAGCTAATTGTGGTATTCGAAAACATTTTGGGTCTTTGGCAGATGTACCAGGGCTTCAGCACTCTATATGGCAGGAATGACAAACCGCCACCCCCATGGACCCATAACAAACGGATCGAACAGAATGCCGAGCTCAATCTATTGTTTGGCCTCATTGCGTTCTTCTGCTCCCATCTGCTCCTAATCGGCGTTGTCTTTGTGAGTATTACGCTTACGATTTTAGCTTTGCCATAGATATATATATACATTTAGATATATTCCTATAGCAACGCAAGTTATGCGTCTTGATATGGATTTCTGTGATGGCAGTGTACATTGTGGCGTTCATGTTCTACACGCAGGTCTTTGGGTGCACATCCGGTCCTATGCTATTGGATACATTCATAGCAGGTGGGTGAATAAGCTACCAGTATTGATAAATATAAATACTTTACTCTATAGTGTTGTATAAGAAATCTATTTATCTGATCTTCGAAGCACTTCATTAGTTTTACAATGCTTCTTCAATTTTTCCAGCTCTTCAAGGATATTTTTTGAGCGTTGGCTTAATCTACTATATGCAGATGGGACACAGAGAAGACCCTGACGAGGACCTCGAAGTACTCTTTACGATTACCGAAGTCTAAAATCTCGGTTCATCTCAAGTCTGCGAGGTAAAAATATATATGTGGCATTCGACATTTGATTTGATTAAATGGTATAGAAATAAAAGATTCATTGATGCAGTTTCTCAAGCAGTTGTTTCGATAGCACTACGACTAATTGCTAAATCTTAGATTAGATATGTTAGATATGTATACAGAGTAAAAATATATTATTATTGTTATGATTATATCATGCCATAATTCCGACCACTACAACCAATCTTTGAGCTATTCAATTAGACTTGATTTGTTCTAATATGTACAAATGCAGTTTTGCTATTGTTGTAAATTTGTAATTAAATTGAATTAGTATTAGTTGAAACATGCTATTCTGATAATGGTGTCAAAATATTAGTTCACATTGAATTTTATTTCTCGTTATTATTGCAATGCAACTGCGCGGAAATTGTAATAGAAATTCTATTTGCATTTCCCTTCTCTTTTTTTTTTTCATTGTTTTGCTTTCCTGTTTTATTACTCAAAAATTGATTGCACTGGCAAATTTTTGGACAGAGTAAAAATTGCATAATCAAATAAATTAATGAAAATATAGTGAGTCCTAATTGCACTTTAAATATATTATTTTTTGCTATTTTGTAAACTTTTATCTTCGCTAGAACGAAGGCAATATGCTCTTTCCATATTTGTTTTTTTTTTTTTTTTTTTTTTTTTTTTGTGAACGATCAAATTGTTTCATATTATTCTAATTATTTCTAATATTAATTTGTAATGGGCAAAAAATATAAATGGTAGGACTCTTTGATATGTATTTTTTAAATTGCATAATTAATTAAATTAAATTAAACTTATTTGGAATTTTAGAATACAATCTAGATAAATCGAATTTTGACCCAACTCAATTATTTCCGAATTACGAACGAGTATTAAGCAGTCAATGCCATCTTTTCTCAACTATTTATAATTTTTATATATGGAAAGAGCATTTCGATATTAGTTCAACTCAAGCACATTGATAAACAATAAAACCAATTGTTAATTGCAACGAGAGATAATACGAATTTCTTACTTTTGCGTACGATTTTTTTGGCGGCTCTCGCGTGGCAGTTGCCGTGGGCGTGCCGCGTTTGTTAGTGCGATTCTTTTTGAGTACGATAACGCGCATGGTGCACTGTTTTTTCTTTTTATTCCTTTCTTTACTTTACTTTACGTTTAGATTAGTGATTAGTGGGTGTGTTTGTGTGTGGGTCTATGTGTGTATGTGTTTATGTGAATTATTATTGCTTAGCGATGGTCTGAACACACGACGTGGTAACAACAACAATTATTATTAGTTGAAAGGCAAATGCTCCGATTTATGCTAGCGAGTCCTTCAAATGCCGTTTGCAAACGGAGTTGTTCATTCGAGTGGGAAATTTGATTGTTAATTAAATTATTAAATTATTATAGTGTTAACTACTAGTTGGCTTAGTTTAGTTTAATTAGCTGTGCTATTTACAGTACAGTTTAGCGAGAGTAAGTAGCATTTGTTACTATATATAGTATATCTATAGTTAGGCACTAGATGCTATGTGTGTGTGTGTGTGTGATAAGAGATAAATGTAGTTCTAGCTATTGCTATTGCGATATCTGCTAAGAATTTTAAACAAGCGTGTGTGTGTGTGTGTATATATATATTATATTCTTATTGTCTTTTTAGCCAAGTTTTGGGTTTTTGTTAACCGTCTATATTTGTTAGTAGTATGCACTAATTACGATTAATACGGAAAGCAGGCAAAATGTATCGAAGAAAACTTGCGACAGTGCTACAAATTAGTAATTAATTGAATTTGGAATTTCATACTGTTCAGATTGTAAAGTTTGCGGCGCACGGTGCGTATGCGTGTTATTTGGATTTAGATTTTGTTTTGGATAGAAAGCTAATTGAAATATGTATAGATATATTTTACAATATGCGCTGCCTCTAACGTTAGTTAATTACTTAATTGGTGTTGTTGCCGTTGATCAACGACATACATGTATTTTGGTTGCTCTTTACTTACGCTCAAATCAAGTTTGATATAGATATAGTTTAGGTTTACTCGATTTTGTATCTGAACACAAAAGCCTGCCCTGTACTGCGCCTCTATCAACTGTATTTATTCGATATACATATATTTATATTGTCTAAGGATATATTGGTAATTGGTAATTGGTTATTGTTGATTGTTGTTGTTGTTATTGTTAATGTGGGGACAACGCCTTCGACTAGAACGAATGCCAGAGCATTTAGCATGGACAAACGGTATTTATATCTATATATATATAGTTTTCTGGACACGAGCTATGCCAGCCAATCAAAGGCGATGCTTTTGTTTTTCATTAATTTGTTGTTGTTATTATGGTTGTTGTTGTTATTGGTGGTGGTGTCGTACGAATTGCGGATCACTCAACAGCTAAAAGGCAGGCAACAACAAAGGCGACTTTGTTGGCTCGACGCGCGTTATCAGCAACGTTCAGATGCAGGCACGTGACTGAGCTGGTGCGAGGCTAGCACGTTGCTTTTATAAACACCAGACGACGGCGACGACAGCGACGACAACTACGACAACTACGACGACTACGACAACGACGACGATCTGGCAACGCTGCGCTCTCCACTCTCTCTCTCTCTCTCACTCTCACTCTTTCGTTAGCCGAGGCGAAACAGCTGTGCGAGCTTCGAGTTCAGTGCCAACAAACAAACAAACAAACAATTTTGTAATATTTAGTTAAATACGCACAGTGGCACACAAAAAAATATGCACACACGCACGTACACGCACACGCACACACACAGACACTTAGCGCATATTTGTTAATTTGAATGAAATGTTTAGGCACGTGTTAACGAAGACATCGTCGAATTGTTGTTGCTGCACACGGGACACTGATTGACCACCAGACGCTAGCTACTCTATCGCAATACTAAACGAGTGAAGCACGTTTCGTCCTTCCGGAGTTGTGCTCCCACAGCATTCTGGGAGCATTACAAATGGATATGTGGGACATGCGCACTGAGTGCCACTGGAGAACTGAATGCCAAAACCTAACAGACAGCTGTTTGACCTGCATACTATTTATGTGTGTGTGTGTGTGTGTGTGCGTGGGCTCGGTGCATGTGTACTTTGAAGCGTGCACACACACTTTTATGGGGCACTGTCTCACAACTCAACTGAAAGCCAATGTAGTTTAGACTAGAGAACTTTAGTTTCTCTCCCAAGAGAGTGATATGCTCATTCCATAGAACTTTTCATTAGTTGTAAAAGCTCGCACATCCAACAGGTGCCACAGGAGCTGCGAAAAAGCTGTCACAAAAAGCTGCACACTTTATGGCAACGCAGCAAGCTTAAAGCTCACGTAGTTGTCTTAGCTAAGTCAAGCTTTTCCATACGGTAAAGAGGTCTAGAACTCACCTGTGCTCGTATGGCAGCCAGGTGTATTTGCTTGGCGCGTAAATCGAATTTCTTCATGGATAAATCCTCCTGCAGCTCGTTAACCTTGTTGTACAGCTGACCCTCAATGCCGCGCATTTGTGTGCGATTCAGTGCATCAATGGAGTCCTGCAAGAAGCACATACATAAATATATAAGTATGTGTAAGTATTAAAGGTATTTCACATGTACATACATATATATATATATGATAGCTTGTTACTCACCTGCAGCTGACGTATTTGCAATTCCAATTCAATGGACTCACGCTTAAGCGACTCCAGTGCCGAGCGCTGCGACAGCGTCGAGTGCCGGTCAAAGACGAGCTCGTTGCGCAAAATTGGCGTCATCTCCTGTGCATGAGGAGAGGAGAGTAGAGTGTCCTTAAGGATTAGAGTTTACTCATTGAATTTAATTGAAAAGAGTCTCTTGAGACTTGAGAGATTATTTATTGGGTGATCAGTGCGTGAGTCAGTCCAGAATGGAATGCAGAGAGCCATGAACAGAATTTAAGTTTATTGTATTATTTTAAAGATCCTTTTAACGTAGCTCTGTGCTATTCTATTCTCAGCTGTTCGATAACACAAAAGTTCTACTGTTTAGCTGTCACATTATGAGCGATACCGACTATAGAGCTATTGAGCTATTCACGCGTAACTGAAGAGAACATTCTTACTCTATTCAACTGTTAAGCTGCTAATGATCTTTAAGTTCCCTGGAACTTTACAGCTAGCGCTCATAAACTGTCAGAAACTTGTCATATTACATTGCATATTACGAGGGCTGTATGAAAACTTATTGAACCAACAGATATTAAAATAATAATAATAATAATATATAAAATTATATAAAATAAATAATAATAATATATATATATATATATATATATAAAAAAAAAAACAAAAAAAGTCTTTAAAAATTAACTTATAATATATTTATTAAAATTCTTTTTGATAAAAAAAATTTGAAATTTAAAAAATAAAATTAAAGTATAAATAAAAAATATAGTTAAAAATATATAAAATATAAAATGAATCTTCAAGCTAAAAAAATTAAAATAAAAATAAAAATACATTAAAATTAAATTTTAAAAATTATTAAATATATATCAAATATATTACTATATTTACTCATTCATGGTTCACCTCAATGACTAATAGAAATTAAATAAATTTGGCTTCATGTTATTTATAAATTAGCTCCAAATAATTCTTGGCTTTAGGCCTTATTTAAGTCTTTCTATTTCTATCAGCTTGCGTTTGCTTGGTATCAGAAAAAATATTCATTTTTGTTTACTTAATTTATCTATCTAGTCTTCTATCCTCTATTCAAAATAGTTCTGGCTATGCACATATGTATCATTGCACAACTTGAATATTCCGCAATACGACTTAAAACTGACACTCTTGCTATATTATATAAGCTATATATAAAATAAACTATAATATGCCATGATGCATTTGCTTACATTATAGTCAGCTGCCTCGTCGGCCGGCTCGCCCGGCTGCTGTGCTTGGGGTGGGGCAAAGACGCGTCGGGGCACCTTCTGAGCCTGCGATGGCTGCGCCAGCAGACGGACAAAGTTCAACAGATCCTGCTGGGGCTGGACGGCGCTGCACTGGCTGGCCAGGCAGCCGTAGCGCCGCGACTGGTCCGTGGCCTGCAAATACATGTAAAACAATTATACAAGAATATATATATCGACATACATATAGAGCTAAGGGTATTATTTATTTTGTTATATAAATGAAAATGTGTTTTTGATGTCTGTTCGCACGCAGCGAACATTATGGGCAATTGCCGGGCGCAATTTGCGCACCTGGACACAATTATGAGCAATTATTATAATGGTGATGAAATTGTTTTCCACGACAAGTGCAAATGAAGCAACGAGCAAATTCCAGTGCTGAAAATTGTGTCGAGCAACCACCTGCTGCTGCTGCTGATGCTGGCAACAGTTGCAACAAATTGCAGCACGTAGCCATAAATCCAGATAATGCGAACTCACCTTGGCGGCAATTACATCGGCGCCCTGTTGCAGCGAATCGGAAACAATGTTGCATAGGTCGTTGTGTATCTCCTCCAGCTCCTGCATCAATTGGGGCAACGTGTCGCAATGGTAGGCCTCCAGCATGCCATTGGTGGCATGCAACTGCTGCACGTACGCATTGTGCGCATCGATATATTCGGTCAGCGAGTGCTGGCTGGGGTTCTGCCTGTGTGCCAGATGGCATTGCTTGTAGTCCAGGCGACACTGCAAAACAAATGGCCCAAAACAAAACGAATAATACAAAAGAAGCAAAACAATACAGCGGCAATTGTCAAGGGACAAGCGGCAGCATGGCGTATACGTAATATAAATGGCTGACTCTGCACACATGCATGCGAGCGCATGTGTGTGTGTGTGGCTGTGGCTTTAAGCTGCTTTCTGCTTGCCAGCATACACAATTGTTGTTGTTGACACACGCTGCGCCACTTAATAAGCCAACATCGGCTTGGAAACATTAAGTGCAGCTCATTAATAAGACGCACTTGGCCTGCCACTTAATAATGTTGCATGCCCATCTTGTTGTTGTTGCTGCTGCTGCTGCTGTTGTTGTTGTTTTATTGGTTAACGCACCTTTGACAGCTTCTCTTCAGTCTTTGCGATTATAGTCTCAAAAGACTCCCTGTGCGTAAAGATTTTGCGACTTTGAACTTTGCGATGAAAGGATTTATCCAGCATGGGCCGAGATACCTGAGAGAGAAGAAGAAGAAAACCCAAATATAAAATAACGAAGGAGAACATGAAAAAGATATAAAAGAGAATTTAATTAATTTATAATAGGCAAATAAATTGTTTTTGATGCCTTTTCACACACACACTCGTTCATCCTGTCTTTTATAATTTTTTGCCTCGCCCCGCGTTTTATTGAAGCCAAAATGCAAATCATCATGCAAAATGCTAATGAAAACCAAATGGCTCGAAAAAAAGAAGCACAATACAGGCCATAAACGAATATATAACAAAATGTTTTACAATAAAAAACAAATTAGAATGAAATTGTAAATGGTATGCGAGCGACTAGCAAATATCCTGGATTGGACAAAGGAGTGAATGATAGAGTGAATCTGTTCATTTTATAGCAAAATTACAACAACTATTTTCTTTGATTTTTTATTTCGCTCAGCTGTTTTATGTCTCTATGTCTCTCTGAACCTCTTACAGATATAGAAATTTTATTATTTTCTATATTCATCTATGTATGCTTAAAGACGGCAACTTTGTCCACTATTTCCATGTGAATAACTAACATAAATTCAGACCCATTCACACTTAAGCTATTCAATAAAGCATTTTTCATAGAGTTTATAAAAGAAGAGCGGGGCGGTCGTTAAATGCAACGAGGCGTGCATCGTATGTGTGCATATAAGTGCAGTTCAGAAGAAGAAGAAGCAATGTGAGGGCATTAAATGTGAAGTAGCCTGTTTGAGTGCAAGTATGAGGATGTACATATATGTATATGTACATGTATATGGAATTCTATATGTAAATATATACGCTTAAGCAAATTGTTTAACACATTGTAGGGGAGGGATTCACCCGACTATAATGCTTCTGCTGGACATAGACAATGCTGATAGCATACTTGGACACATTCACTACATGCCTGACACTTCGTTTTATAGCTAAAAAAAAGAAAAATAAAATAATAAAAGAAGATAATTTGGATAGATAAACCAACGCTAAACGAGCTGACTACTACAACTATGACTACCTTAGTTAGTATTGCTGAACATATATACAAGTATATACCTACATATACAGCAATTACAAGCTATCTCTTCATATCTCCCAACAGCAGTATATACCCTAATATCTATAGATAGCAGGTATATACAAAAAAAAAATGATGACATTATGCGTCGCTTCAATTACACTTGTGAATTCCCAGGGCGCACATACACAGGAATAGTCCACGCGCACTCACACAGAGACAAACACACACACATACACACACACACACACTCACCCTTACATAGCTAACCCCATGCGGTGCTCACATTAAGTGTAATTAGTTGACTTGTATACATGTAACATATGCATGCATAAATATTAGGTATATATGTATATGAATAGACCGCGATTGATTTAACTAGGCCCATTATTCAATTAACGCTTATGACAGCAACAATCTATTTTCGTTGCACTCGTAAAATGGTTGGGGTGGGGCTTCTTTTTTTTTTGGTTTTTCGGTTTATGTTTTCATTGAGGTCAACACGAGTAATCCATTTAACTGTCAACAACTCTCACACTCACACACATACAGTCACACCGAATATAAATGCTTTCTCACCTGGCGGCTGAGGACGCTGGCAACATCGTTGCAGGCCTGCGAGTCGGTTTCCGTTTCCTGCAGGAATGTTTCCCACGCCTGAAAGATGGCCAGATGGCAGGCGGGTCTGTCAGCATTTAACGAAACCGAAAACGAAAACAAAAACGAAATTTTAATTGAAAATGAAAATGAAAGCACAAATACAAATAAAAAACCATATCATTAAAAAATATCCATTCAATTTCGTATGCTTGACAGGGTCACATGTACCTCTCCTTGCGCAGCTCGGCATTCTTTTTGCGATAATTGGATACTAGAGTCTGAAGGGCAGTTGCATGTTCCTCATACAATTGGGAGAGTGATTCGTTGAAATCGGATACTGCAATGAAACCAAATCGAAAATGTAAATGAAAGCAGCACTAAAATTTTCATTTATAATTAATGATAATTCATTTTCCTCTTTTTTGTTAGTGTTAATAAATTCGTTAGTTTATTCGATTAGTTATTTATGGTGTAGGCCACAACCAACAGCCCCTGCCCTGCCCAAATACCTAACTCAATTATATATGCGTGCATCGATAGTTTCGACGCTGTGTGAACGACTGGAATATCAAACAGCTAACCAAAAACTAGTTTGAATATGCCTCACAGCGCTCAATTTGCATAGACCGAGAATAGGACTAGAGATGAGAGGATTTTGGATTTTGTTTTACGTTCTCCCCTTCATAGCGTCGAATTTTTTTTTTTTTTTTTTTGCATTGAGCAGGGGCAAATCCTTTCGCAGCACACAGGGCGCATACTTAATGTCGGTTCGAATTTGCAAATTGCTAACCAAATAAATATTTAATCCAACTCTCCGACAATTATTGTAATGGAATTAGTTCAATGTGAATTCGCCAAAAATGTTTTCCTTTCTATTCTCTATCACTGCTACTTCTCTATTAGATTTAAAGTAGCGCGATTGATTTTCTAGTCGGCTTTAAAGATGTTTTTAAGCATTCAGCCGAATGGGCAACGGCAGCAGCAAAATGCTTTGATTTTCAGCGGCAAAGTGCATTAGCGTTGAGTACAGAACGCATTCACACACACTCACACACACACACACACACATACATGGCTGCTAGAAAACTATGAAGTGAAGCGTTTGCTCAAAGCTTGCGCCCCGACTTCAGGCTCAAATGCACTTAAACTGAGAGTTGAATGTTTCAACTAAGGATTTAATCAAATCTTTACTACTCGAAGGCCTTTACACAATGCACACACACACACACACACCCATACACACATACATTGTGCTGAGCCTTTGCATGCGCACGCTGCGTATACTTAATGTAAAAAGGATGCCTCGTAAAAACAGGGAAGGAATAGCCCGCACACACACAGCCACATACGCATAAGAGAACTGTCTGTCATCGTGGTAATCCATCACATTTACGACTGTTTCAATATACATACATATATATTTTAGACTCTGCAGTGGCTTTTAACTTTTAGTCATCCGACTCCTGTTACCTGCCATAAACTTGTTTTATTGACCAACAGCAGCCGCCAACAAGTTGTGGCGCACTTTGACTGCATTTCAATTTAACACTTGGTGCATTCAAGTCAAGACATTAGTCGCCTTTATGGTCATCTCGGTTTGTTTCTCTTGCTGCCGGAAATTGCAATCAGCTGCATCGATACCTGCGTCAGCTGCGGCAGCTCTCGGCCGTCGCCCAAAGGCAAATCATGCCGCACAAAGAAATGTTATTAAAAAGTTTTTTTTCGCCCAGCCCAACTCTCGCACCCGAGCTGAGTTGAAATTGCAAACGGGCAACGCAAATGCAATTTTCTGTGCAGTTTCTGTGCAGCTTCTGTTCAGTTGGCGCACTGCGAGTATATGTTGTGCTTTGGCAGGCAAACAGGCTGTGTAACTTTTAGTGACACAAGTCAAAAGTTATGCTCGTGCGTCCTTCCGACAAATGCAGACAAACAAGACCAAATATGAGGCAACAGTTGCCATTGCACAGATGCCCTGTAAAATTATGGGCATGCGAGAGGAGGCGGCGTTACTATTGATTGAGTACTGGAAGATTATCATTATAATATAATATTTGCATTAAAATCTATATGAATGAATAACTATAATTTTTGTTAAACATTTTACTAGAGGAGGTCTGCTCAAAAAGTATCTATATTTACATAAGCTTTTCTTTTTATTATTTTATTTTAATCTCATCAAAATAATTCCTGGTTTTATTTTTCCCTTATACCTCTGTTTTATTCACTACATCAGCTCTTTAAAGATTTTGAAATATTTCCTTTTTATAGTTTATTAAAAGTTAACAAAGTATTCATATTGTCCAAACATGTTGAGTCTCATACATGCGTAAATTTCACATTCCTCAAACTTTTTAAACAGACCTCTTGCTATAAACTGAAGAATATTCTGCTACACATTAAACTTTTTATTTTTTAGTTAGATTTATATGTGTGAGACATATTTGCAGCTGTTGCGAAAATTGCAAATATTATTTTAAATTTAAACATTTAAATCTACATTTTTTGCAACATTTTTCCAAATATTTTGCATCTATGAAATTTTTTTAGTTTTTGGAATACTTTTATAAAATGTGAACAATGTATATGCAACTATTTTCTGCACTGCACTTGCAATTAAGTTGACAGCTATAAAACTTTTTTAGTCAATTTGCTTTAAACATACTGGTACCTAAAAACTCCACTTAAATTCAGTATTTTTCTATAACGAATTTAAATTCCAATAACAAATTTGCGTCAAAGGTGAATGATTTAAATGTAAAATATTCTCAATCATTTATTTATTTCCATATTTTTTTTTATTGTTGTTATTTATTAAATTTTCATTGAATTTTACGCATTTCTACGACACTTTCAACTATATTGTCATTTGCACAGTTGCCCTTCAATTTAAATCAAATCAATCATTTTATGCTATATTGAAATTCTCTTTGGACTTTTCATATTGTTTACAAATATCTTCATATTTACAGCCTGTTCGCTGAGCTGTTTTTGTCAGGACTTTTGATTTGTTTTCAGTGCTGCGCATTAAAATAAATATTTTGCTGTGACTCCTCACGGCAATGGGACAAATAATAAATAAAATTCCATTGAAAGAGAGAAAGCCAGCAAAATAAATAAATTACATTCTCGCATCTTTCATGCATGATAAGTATTTGCCAGCCGTTCGCTTTGATATTCGCCAGCCGACAATCAACAGTGTCTATAGAGGGTATCAGAGCTGGTCATGTCGCTGCAGCATGTGCACAAAGTTGTCGGAAACTTTAAAAGGGAAGCAAAGGCAACTACAACACACGACACTACTACACACATACATATAGAGAGAAATGTGTGCCTTAAGCTGTAAAGCGGACATATCGCCATGGTAGCCAGATGCTAAGCTGGCATTATTTATAGGGCAGCAAGTTGAAAACGTGTCCGACATCAATTCTATATAGATTTATGGCACAATCTCTAGGTATGCTGAACACAAAGACGCGCGCTGCGATTGAAATCAATAAGCCATAAACCGAAAGCCACATAAAATACCAGAAGAGACACAGAGCACAAAGTCAAAACAATCAAAAAACTTTTGCGAATAAAACACACAACATTTTCTTCCCCAACACACGCACACTCACACACACACACACAACACAACACAAAGTGTTTATTTGAGCATGAAAATAGACAACGAAACAAAAACTTTCGCAGTATGCCAATGTACAAACATACATATGTATATATATATATATATATATATATATATATATATGTGTATGTATTTGTATATAGATATATTTCTGCACACATTTCACTCACCTGTTTTAATTAACTTAAAGTTGACATTGTTCTGGGATTTGAAAGCCTCATTCAAGCTGCTGTGACTGTAGTCCTTGAGTATGCCATTATAGGACGCCATGCTGCCCTGTGGGCTAAGGGAACCACCCTGTGGTCCCCTCCACCCAAAGAAACTACGATTTTTTCGACCACTTGAAGATTTTCCCAAAGAATCTGTGCGAAGTAAACGACGAGGGCTTATTAATATTTCTGCAGCCGCAACAAAAACAATTCAACTCAAAGGAAAACAATCAAAGAGTAACAACAAAAATCAAATTCAACTCAAACTCCATAATTAATTCAAAGCAATATGTAAATTAATTAAATTCAAATTCGAAAGGAAATAAAAATGCAAATAAAATTACTGAAACGCAAACAAAATTAATTTCATATCAATTTAATCAAATCTCCAATCAGATGGTAACGCTAAAAAGAATTTATTAAATGAAAAACAAGAGATCTGTAAGAAAATAAGTAAATAAATAACACGAAATGAAACAGTTTGAATCGTCGGCGTCGTCTCCCGCAGTTACCCTAGCTCTGGCCCTGGCCCCGCTTTAATAATTCCTTGTTTTTTCTCTCGCCTTCTACCTGTGTGTGTGTGTGTGTGTGTGTGGTTGCGGCTGACGTGCCAGACATCTGTGCACGCCCACCAAGTTGTCTGAAGGTGGGGGACAGCAGTAAATCGCTGCCTCTCATATTTATGCATAAATAATGAGCCGGGCCGTGGGCCGTGGGCCGTGGGCCTTCGGTTTGCATCCATTCCGTTTGTTTGTTGTATTTGTCAGTTGAGCAAACGGAAATTTCAAGTGCTTGGGCGCCCATTACAAGAGTCAACAAAGCAACACAGCCGCCTCGTGGCTCCCAAGACATTGTCGAGGCTATCCAATTGAGGCTCATTTCAAATTCAATCGATAAATGAAGCGTAACGGCTTCTATTTCTGCTGCCACGGCTAAAAAGGCATTTGGGGGCATTCGGTTTTGAGTGCTCAAGAGTTTCAGCTTTTTAGCTGTCCAATTGTTTGACCACACACTCGCACACACGCACGCACGCACGCTTAAGCAACCCTTAGTGGCACACGCGGCGTATGAGTGTGATTTTATTTGCGTTCGTTCCATTTGCTCGCCCACAAAAGTATGCTACGGCAATTATTTAGCCGCATTGAATGACGCCATTGCATGTGGTAACTCGACTGCACATATTCGGAGCTGGCATAAGCCAAGGGCGTGGCAGCAGCAGCAGCAGTTGCAGCTGCAGCTCGGATCACGTCCAACACGCTGTTGATTTAGTTTCAGTTGATAGCTGCTACTCCGGCTGGTCATCAAATTTGCCACGCTCTGAACTTTGAAATGAATTCCAAGTGGGCGACAACTGGATTCTTGAGCCGTCGCGTGCTCACGTGCGGCCAACTCCTGGCGCCCAGGATGCGCGCCAAATGTTGTTGATTACACTTCATGCGCTGCTAAGCTTGGCTACGCCAGCAACAGCAGCAACAGCAACAGCTGCAGCGGCAGCGGCAGCGGCAGGATGTGCAGCATGCCTCCCTTTGCTAGTTTGCCCTTTGTAAGCACTCGCACTTGCATTTGCCAAGGAATTATGTGCGTGCCCATTTCCAAGTGGAAAAACACGCGCTCCAAAACACCTCCTCGGGCCACGCCCCGGGCCTAGCAATGCAAGGTTAAGCCCCACCCACGTGTGAGTGCATGTGTGTGTGCGTGTGTGATGTGTGTCTGTATGTACGGAGCATATGCAAGCATGCACATAATCCACTTTGCATGCATGAGGCGCTGAGCGAGGAGAACGGAGATTGGTGCATGTGTGATAAGAATTAGGATAAGACGACAGGCAGTCAGCCCGGATTTGAGTTAAAGTCAAGCGGCGGAAGGGAACTCGACGCGTTCCATATTTAGTTGAAGATTTTTTTGTATTTTGTTCTCATATTATTCATTCGCTCATAAAAGGTAACGGTAACTATGCAAACGTGTAAGAAAATATGAAAAATAACTCAAGTTTGGCATGCGAATAGCTTGCATATCCTTGCAGGAATTACTAATGCGACGTTTTCCTTCTTTTTCTACATTTTTCCACTTTGTTTTTCGCTTGTGCCTGACGTCTGACTTTTTTACTTTCTTTTTATCTTGTGAATTGCAACAATTCTTACAGCGTATTTATTGCCCAGACTAGATTTTTTATCTAAAGAGTTTAAGTGTAAGAGTTTGGCTTTATTTGATTATGAACTGAGATTTAAATGAAAATAAACACTTGAATTTTATCTATTCTAGCTACTCAGCCCGAGTCGCTTTAACTGCAACAAAATCTAACCGAAAAACTTTTAAATATCTATATCGTATGTAGAAGCTTAAGCTAGTCAGACACTCAGAACTGCAAGAAACTTGTTGAGCCACTTGCAGCTCTAAACTATTTACCAAGCCAAAGAAAATTTGAAGAAAACTCTAAGGAGTTTACTTATTGAAACTTTGTTTATGTAAGACGCCAGAGTATTTGTGGTCTTGGATAATATATTGAAAACTGGTTGAAATTTCAGACAATGAAGAAACTTTCACTTCAATCGGCTTTAAGTAAAAGTCTGCCATAATATTTCAATATTGATTCAATTTGACATAAAATCTAATTTCAAGAGAGAAGTAAGTAGTAGTAGTAGTAGCTATTCATAATTTGTATAAGAATGCCTATTAGAGTCTTATTTAAATCATTTTACAATATTCTGTCAATTATATCTTAGTCAGATCTTCATCCAGTTATGCATATTTGCCATGAAGAGTCCCTCAACAGTTTCCAGCCAAAGAAGAAGATATTAGGGATAATCTTCTTCTTTCTAATGAAAAAGTCTTCTAAAAATCTTCCTCTTCTTCTATCTGAAGACTTGATTTAACAAGCTCGCGCACATAAATCCTGCAAGGACTTTAATTTCTTTTCTGACAAGCGGCATCAAAATATTGTCAATATTGTTGCAGCGCATTGGCAGTTGTCAATCAATCAATCAATCAATCAAACGAATGAACAAACATATGTTGTATGCAATAACTTTTTCAAAGAGTAAATTTTTGTTTCTTTTTTTTTTTAGCAGCAGCAGCAGCGGCATAAAAACGAACTGTAAACAATTTGATTAGCTTGTGAGAGAATAGATTTGTTGGGGGCACCTGTCACCTTTGGAGTGCGCGCCGCCACCGGCCCGACCACCAGCACCGGCGCTGCTGCTGCCGGTCCCGCCGGTCGCCCCGCCCACCGCACCGCCAGCCGCCTCGTCCCAATTATCTGCGCTGCGGGAGCGCGCATTGAGCGCACGCTCCCGATCCTCCCGCGGTGAGCGCGCAAACAGCCCGCCGCCCCCGCTGGCCGCACTGCCGGCCGGACTGCGCGTACGCGGCGAGTCATAGACACCCGCATACCTCTCCAGGGGGGGCGAGTAGCCGCGTCCGTCCGGCGACGCTGCGTTCGGGCTGCGCGGCTGCAGCTTGATGACCGGCTCGCGTGCCTCGAAGAATGCATCGAAGTTGTTCTGGCGCAGATTCTCGCTGCTGAACACCGGATTCTCGACGTGCACATGAACATCTTCGCGCAGGCGATTGCTCTCGCGCGTATCCGAGGAGGTGGAGCGACCCAGTCGACCCAGCGGTATATGGAGCTTGGGCCGCAAACGAGATTTGCTGCTGGTCGGCGATTTGCTGGCCAGGCTGCTGCTGGAGCACTCGGGTGGCAGGTCCATGGGCGACATGGGTCGACCCCAGCCGGGGCCAAAGTGTGCGTGCGTGGGATCTGGTGAGGGTGGCTCCAGGAAGATGCTGGGACTGCGCGAACGGGCATCGACCAGAGCGCCACTCGCTCCGACTGCGCCGCCGGCCCCGCCCGCTGCAGCGCCTGCAGCTCCATAGTCAATCAGACGTGAGTCCTCGTCGTAGGCGCTGCTGCGTTGGAATGGTGCACGTCCAGACGCACTGGGATTGCCGTCTCCTTGCATGCTGGCGTCATTATACATGGACGTGCTCAGCGGTCGCTGATGTGGCAGCAGCGGCGTCAACGGCGCCTGCGAACGATTGCTGCGCACGCTCGAGCGTTTGCTGCCACCACCGGAATTGTGATTCGAGTGGGTTAGCGAGGCGCGTGAGGTGCGTCGCGTCGGCGTCGGCGGCAGGCTCTGTGTCTGCGTTGATTGCACACCAATTGGCAATATTGGTGGCTCCGGCTTCGACTCTGGCTCTGGCTCCTGCTGCAACGGCGTCTCCTGCTCAAAGCTAAAAAAGTTAACACTAGGTGGCTGGCGGTGCGGCGAGTTGGGCGGTGCTGTGGGAATGCGTGACGGATTCGGCGGCTGCACTGCGGCCGCTAACCACTCGGTGGGTCGCGTCGAGTCGTTTGTGTAGCTGGTGGCGGCGGCGGCGCCAATAAAGTTGTGATGGCTGAAGCTGGAACTGGCGTTGGCTGGACTGTTGGCTAAGATGCCGACGGGTCTCGCTGATCTCGCTGGAATCTCGATGGGTACGAGCGGTTCGCGCAGGCAGTCGAGTGTGGGACGCGGTTTCACACGTGGTGCATAGAAACCATAGGTCATTAAGATGAGCTCATCGGCGGGATATATTACGTACATTCCTCAATGTCGCCATGTGACATGATGGCAACACGCTATGAATCAGATCAGAGCGCACTCGGGCCAAGTCCCTAACACTAAAGGGCTAACAAAATTCATAAAGCGCTTAACTAAACGTGGTTATCGACTAACGGTTCGAGAGGGTTGGACTTGTCTTTTTGTGTTATCTTTTTTTCTTTTTATTGTTGTCCTTCTTCTTCTTCTTCTAGTTAGTGCAGTGTGTCGTCAATTTTTGTCTTTTATAATGTTCTGTTTTGTTCGGTCTCAAAGTCTCAGTAAACTAAAAAGAGTTACGTAGAGTAATTAAGTATATATACTATAAATATATATATAGATAGAAGAAGAGATTATGTTAAACTATAATTGGCGCGTACTTGATTCAACTTGGGTTTATCACAAAACGAGTTCGAACTTTTTGGGATCGTGTTGTCATTTAGAGCGTTGCATGCTGGCAATAACTGTAAGAGAGAGACGATGAAAGAGACAGAGAGAGAAAGAGTAATTAGTAAAATTTAGCATTTAGTGCATCATAAAAATAATATTTATAAATTATTACTTCATTTTGGCTTAGAAACTTTGTAGAATATAAACTATAAAATACCCTGTAATTTAATTTTCTGTACAGCCAATTCTGATTTTATTTTGTTTTGGACTTTAAGCTTACAAAAAATAAATAAATAAATAATAATAATAATAATAATAATAATAATAATAATAATAATAATAATAATA